CATTAATTTCAACCTTATTTTTCATCAATTCCCACTTAATTCTCATCAATTCTCATCTAGTTCTTATCAATTTCATCACATTTCTCATCAATTCCCACCTAATTCTTGTTAATTTATTTCTATTTTTTATCAATTCCCACTTAATTTTTATCAATTCCTATTTATCTTGCCTAATTCTTACCAATTCCCACCTAATTCTTCTCAATTTCAACCTATTTCTTATCAATTCCCACACAATACTTAAAAATTTTAACCTATGTTTCATCAATTCCCATCAAATTCTTATCCATTTCAACTTATTTTTCATCAATTCCCACTTAATTTTTATCCATTTCAACATATTTCTTCTCAATTTCAACCTATTTTTCAATTCCCACCTAATTCTTATCAATTTCAACCTATTTTTCATCAATTCCTATCTATTTTGCCTAATTCTTACCAATTTCATCTTATTTCTCATCAATTCGCACCTAATTCTCATCAATTCTCACTTAATTCTCATCTAGTTCTTATCAATTTCAACACATTTCTCATCAATATCCCACTGAATTTGTATCAATTACCACCTATCTTGCTTAATTCTTACTAATTTCAACCTATTTCTCATCAATTCCCACTTAATTCTCATCTAGTTCTGATCAATTCCCACCTAATTCTTATCAATTTCAACCTATTTCTTCTCAATTCCCACTTAGTATTTATCAATTCCCACCTATCTTGCCTAATTCTTACCAATTTCGTCTTATTTCCCATCAATTTCCTCTTACTTAGTTCTCATCAATTCCCATCTAATTCTTATCAATTTCAACCTATTTTCTCATCAATGCCCACCTAATTCTTATCAATTTCAACTTATTTTTTTTTATCAATTCCCACTTAATTTTCATCAATTCCCACCTAATTCTCATCAATTCCCATCTAGTTCTTATCAATTTCCACCTAATTCTCATCAATTTCCACATCAGTTCTCATCAATTTCTCATCAAGTTCTCATCAATTTCAACCCATTTCTCATCAATTCCCACTTAATTCTTACTAATTTCACCTTATTTTTCATCAATTCCCACCTAATTCTTATCAATTTCAACCAATCTTTACTAATTTTTACAAATTTCGTCCTATTTCTCATCAATTCCCACTTAATTCTCATCTAGTTCTTATCAATTTCAACACATTTCTGATCAATATCCACTTAATTTTGATCAGTTCCCACCTATCTTGCCTATTTCTCATCAATTTCCTCTTACTTAATTCTCATCAATTTCCACCTAATTCTCATCAATTCCCACTTAATTCTCATCAATTTCCACCCAATTCTCATCAATTCCCATCTAGTTCTCATCAATTCCCACTTAATTCTCATCAATTTCCACCTAATTCTCATCAATTTCCACCTAATTCTCATCAATTCCCACTTATTTCTCATCAATTTCCTCTTACTTAATTCTCATCAATTTCCACCTAATTCTCATCAATTCCCACTTAATTCTCATCAATTTCCACCCAATTCTCATCAATTCCCATCTAGTTCTCATCAATTCCCACTTTATTCTTACTAATTTCAACTTATTTTTCATCAATTCCCACTTAATATTTATCGATTCCCACCTATCTTGCTTAATTCTTACCAATTTCAACCTATTTCTCATCAATTCCCACCTAATTCTTATCAATTTCAACTTAATTCTCATCAATTCTTATCTAGTTCTTATCAATTTCAACCTATTTCTTACCAATTCCCACTTAATTCTCATTCAAAGCAGATAAGTATACTATATTATAGATCTTTCTCTGTTTATTGTTTCAGATAAGGACAGATTAGAAACTGTAACAGAAGAAGATGAAGAAGAATTACCCAGTGCTGATGAAGCCTTGCGGAAATTAGCTGATGACATCCATCAATCTGAAGGTATAGTGGAACAAAGAAATTTTTGCCCATTCCAAACATTTGCATGATATGTCTGCTTTATTTTTACTTTGTGTAACTTGGAATAAACAAAATTATTTAACAGAATAAGTCTTGCTTGGTTGGTTTAAATTTTTATTTATTCTATTCAAAATAGAACTCCCAGAAATGCTTGACTATAAGTACTATAGTTTTAATTTTTAATAAATAAACAGTAAACCTACCAAAGGATTTGTAAAACCAATCAAGTTTTTAGAAGGATAATTTCGGTTCTCAAGAATCCTGTCTACCAGCATTTTGCCAAACCTCAGTACATTGATTTCTTAAGGATTATCTGTACCCATTTACATGTCCACATAATTGTGATTATTTTTTCAGATTGTGATTCTGAGGATGTGTTAAAATTGAGTCAGAGTTCAGATAGTGACAATAAAACTGAAAATACGACAACAGAGGATTCTAGTGCTATGATTTTATTGGATAACTTTGTGAAGGAATCTGACAATTTCTCAAAACTGTCCAGTCGAGAGCTATTTCAACTACATCAAAAACTTGCCATGTGTACCAATAAAGTTATGATGGCAATGATGAAAAAATCTAATTCACCATTTAATACTTGAGGTACAGGTACTAATGCATAATAAACATACAATCAAACCTAGAAAACTCTCATTCTGTTTCTGCACATAAAATCATAATTATGTTACACAACGAGGATAATTATTTGATGTGGTACAGTGGTGTAACCTATTTTCGTGGATATAAGGATTCAACACCGAATTTCGTCAAAGTTAAAAAAACGAAAAAAAAATTTTATGTCTTAGAAGTGTCCTCAGATATTCTACAAAATAATTAAAATTGGTTTATTTCTATTTTCTTAATGAATCCTTCACTTTGACCCATATTTCATGAGCAACCAACTCGGTAACGGCGGCAGAATGCGTCACCTATTTTCATGTACAGTGATTGATCTATAAATAAGTCTAGAAAAACACGGTGTATGGATACCAGGTGGTATAATTAACTTCTCTTAGTATTTATCTTTAATATCAATTCATTATAACTAGTGACAATTCCTTCAAAGAACCCAATTTTAAAAAAAAATAGTGACTGACAAAATATGATACGTAGCGTAATTTATTGCTAAAAGTCAGTGAAATAACATAAGAATACGGTCCACTTTGTGTTCCGTAGAAATTTTCTGCTGACACGGAATCTGCTAGTTGATCACGTGACTTCATTCGTTGGACTACATTCTAGCAGACGACACTTGGAATTCCGGGATTATAAGGAAATTCGACCGATAAAAAATTGTGACGTTTGGTAATAACTGAAATCCGCCATTTTGTATTTGTCAAAGTATACATTAATACATTTTACCTTTCTTGAAACTACTGGATTCGTTCTACTAACTGATATTGTAGAGAAAACCCATGTTTATCAAAACAAACTAATGTGGAGGTCGCGCAAGGTCGCTCATGTAAATTATTAATCCTTTCCGGAAATCCACGAATAATAGGTTTCCACGAAATTTGGTTACTTGACTGTATATTCTTAACATCAAAATGACTTGTTTAGTCTTAGTGGACTTCAGCGAATTTCATAGAAAATCAAAATCTTTTATTTTGTTATTAAGTACTTACTACATTACTTAACATTTTGACTGAAAATATTATGTTTTTAGATGGTTATGGTGTTTGTTATATATTTGATTATTTGTGACCATTCATATATAGTTTTGAAAGATCAAGAATAGTACTTGTTTTATATGTTAACTGGTAATATTTTAAAGAGAACAAATCATGTAAATGTATTGATATTTTTATTATTGTATGATTTTAGTATGAGAATAAATGATTTTACATTGATAAATAAAATTTGAAATGTTTCAATATAGTATGTTCTCTACATGCAAAATGAATTGGTCCTATGCAATCATTCTTTACTTATCAACAAACCAGTACACTCCTAACTATGATTTACACCTTGACTGGGTTCAAAGTATAGTAAATCAGGATTTTTCATGGGGTTTGACAAATTTTCCTTGAACAAATATTCTGGGTACATTAATTCCTTCTTTCTTATTGACTGTATTTCTTTCTACATAGTCATTTCTTTCTCTTATAAATCCTGCTGATGTCATTTTCTCTTCTAAATATTCTGAAATTGAAACAATCAACATATCTAAATTAATATTGATGGCAACTGCTCAAGACTGTTTAAGAAAGAAACCTTTAAATTGTTACCTGGAGAGGGGTATGTCTAAATACTAAGACTTTCGAGCATTTTTCACATTGTTGTGGACAAGCCAAAATAACTATCACAATGCTCATGTTGACTTATATTTAAATGTCTACCTGTTGAGAAATAGAATGCCCTGGTTCCATCTTGTCGGACATAAAAATTCTCAGCTAATTTATGACCTTTAGAAAACCTCAACATAGCAAAGTCATACAGACCATAATCTCTTATTAATAGACAACCACCTGGCTTTATAACCTGCAATATTAGAAAAAACACATTGTTATCCAACTAGCTTCTCATGTACATTTTTAAACTGAATTACAAGGCAATAAGGTCAGATATTTATTATGGATATTGAACTCACTCGCGTCAAATAATGAGACAACTTTATCACTTCAAAATAAAAATGAAATGTTAATCAAACTGTAACTCTTTAAATGATTATCCATTTTTGTGTGTGTGGATAAACTCAAACAATTGACAAACTAAGATAAGGGGCTACATACCTGATATATCTTATGTAGGGCTTGAACCATTTTATCAGGGTGTATAGCTGATAATACAAATATCAAGGTAGCTACATCTATTGAGTTATAATTAACAGTACCGTTTATGTTATCTTGTGTTATATCACACTGAAACACTGTACTTCTATCTTTATTATACAATTCATTCTCCTACAATAACAAAATGCTTATATTATCTTGTTTTATATCACACTGAAACACTGTACATCTATCTTAATAATACAATTAATTCTCCTACAATAACAAAATACTTATTTTATCTTGTGTTATATCACACTGAAACTCTGTACTTCTATCTTTATTATACAATTCATTCTCCTACAATAACAAAATGCTTATATTATCTTGTGTTATATCACACTGAAACACTGTACATCTATCTTAATAATACAATTCATTCTCCTACAATAATAAAATATCTATATTTATCTCACCTTTACAAAATCAACAGCTCTTTGAGAGAAATCACAGGAGTAAAAATATAAACTGGGATCTTCTTGTAATAGAGGAAACATAAAATTACCCACACCACACCCTACTTCAAATATCACCAGCTGATCATTCTACAAAATTATTTACAGAAAAGGTGAAAGTTGGGCTGACACAGGGCTTTAAACTCTTTGACCCACCATGGTCCATGGGTTCCACCTTCAAATTCCCAACCTGCTTGAAATATTCCTTAATTGTTCATAGAACACTCCAGTTTTGACCAAAGATTTCAGAACAGGACATATTTACCTTTGTACTATCATTCAAAAGTTCTTTAAATTCTCTAGTTGTCCAATGTCTATCTTTAAAAAACTTTGTTGTATTTCTTTTATAAAATAAGTCCCAATTTTTCTGTGCTTCTTTTTCGAACTTGTTTTGTTTGAAATCTGTAACTAGTTGGGTATCATTCTGTAACTTTTCTATCTCTTCTGAAGTCAATATCCTTGCTGTGTGGCCAAATGTCTCATGACCACTTTCTGAAGCCATGCTAAATGTTGTGGAAACACTGACACATTTGTCCTAAATTTGCAATGAATATCGTGATTGGAAATCAATCAACGTTTTCACAATTGAATCTATCTTGCAATGGATTTCAGCCTATTGTAATGATAAAAGACATGAAGTTATAAAAAGGTTTTCAATTTTTTTTTTATATTGGGAACACATCATTGCATTAATTTATATCAATAAATGCCAATAGGGCCTACAATTTTCAGAAAATTCAGTCAGATGTCTGGTTCCTGCAATTCTACTAAAACTAAAAGTGTCTTATAAGACCCTTTGCGATAATGACTTAGTTTTAGTAGAATTGAAAAATCACAGATGTCTGACTGAAAAAAAGGGAATGGTGCAAATTGATGCTATCAATCACTCAATGGGTAAATACTCAAAGAAAAGAAGAACTAATTGTGGTCTGAATCTGTCGATTAGAAATGTGGCTGGTAGACTCTCGTTTTAGTCGTCAAATAACTAAACCATTTTTTTTCTTCAATTAAACAATATAGTGCCAGCTTACAAAGAAAGTTCTTCATTCTACAAAGTCGAAGATTTGTTGTTACATAGAAGATTGAACAATGATCACAGAAAATTTCCGATTGTTTGTAATCATAGTTAAAGGGAGGTTACTCTATTTAACAATAAAGGGACACTATTCATGCTTCAGAACATAGTCATGTTTTATATTCAATTTTTTAACAATTAATTGTTTAATTTGCATTCTGGTTTAAGACAAGTCAACTCTCATCTACCTTTACGCTTGTGAGTAGGCCTTATGAAGTCCATAAAATTCTTTGCTACAACATTCATTGCTTTTCATTTATTGTTATTTGTTTAAGGTGAAGTCTCCATCCTGCTTATGGGCAAGCTTGTATCTTCTTTATCCAAGGATTTGAATTTTGCCATTAAATATGTGACATTAAAATATGTATACAAAAAATGTTATTTTTAGTTGAATGAAGTCAAATGTCCAGTTTCCAAGGCTCAACGACATGTGTTTATTTTCAGTCTAATCAAAATTAGACCAAACTTTTTTTCCGTTTTTTATTCATTTTAATTTTTTTATTTACCACTTCAGTTAGGGTGTAACGACGACCTTCTGGAACATGTGTCTGTTTGATGACACTACCGGCCAACCAAATTCGTGCCCTCTCCAACACTGGAACAAAAAGTTTATTCTGAGAAGCCTTAGACACTAACTAAATGTTCCTTTTGTTCACGTCACAAAATCCCAAAATTGGGGAGGGCAGGAATTTGACTGGCTGGTCGTGTTATATAACAGACAATTGTTTTAGAGTGCCATTGATAAAATTAATATAAGAAATACCAATAGGTTATAAAAGGAAATTGGTTGAATAGAAAATACTGATTTTTCGCAATAATTTTTATATGATATTCACAACTACAAATAATGTTTACAATAAAACAAGAATAGGACAGGTTGAAGAAAAGATTAAGAAAAAGAAGAAGTAAAAGTGTGAAAATTCCTATTATACATGTATATATTCAAACATCTACAAAAACTGCATTGTTTAACTCCTACAATGTTATAATGTCACTTTTAGACTCAGTTATTTTAATTTTTATGTCAAATACATGTATAATGGATAATCAATATGATATCTGACAATAATAGGTAGGTAGGTTGAATACTTTTTTGGTTCAAATTTGTGAAAACTATCTAACATGTAGAGAAATGTGTCCCTTAACGTATCTGAAAATTTTAACTAAAAAACTTCGGCCAAAACTATTTGAAAATTTGACATTAACTTTCAAAGTTTGTTATGCTTTTTGGAAGTTGTTAAATTACTGTATGAATTTACATAAAATAAAAGCCAAAATGTAGAGACATATGACTCCTAATTATTCTAAAGGTTCCAACTAATAATATCAAATCCAGTTTAAAGCCAAACACCAAAACTAGGTCAAACTGCTAAATTAACAATTAGTACTCACAGTTTTTAGTTAACCCTTTTAAAACAAATTCAGTTTGATCAAGCAGAAACATAAATAGCATACTTAGAAATATTGTATAATGAAAATGTTTTACAAAAACAGCTGACTGTCCATTTTACTCAACTGTGATTTCTTATGCAGGATAAACATTAAGAAAATCAAGCATCTAATGACTATAAACATATAAATAACTCATAATTGGTTTCAAATCAATGAGAAATAATAGACAAAGAGAAGCAAAGTATAAAAGCACTTCCTTTATATACATAGCTTGAAAGGGGCAAGTAATTTCATTAGTAAATCTAGCTGATTCTGAGCATGGTAACCCCTGCAAGGGCATGTTTCCATCTACACAAATAAGAGTTTGGTCAACCAGAACCCTGAAATTCCAGTTCAAGAGAGTATTGTCAAAACATGCTAATTTCAAATGAAAGCTAGATCTTATTCGATACAATCTATAGTAATTATAAAATGAAGGCTGTAACAGTGTTCAGGATTTCTCTGAATGTCCATGTTTATAATATTTTCTCACTGCTATTATAAACGAACGAAAACTGTTAGTTTTATTCAATCTCTGAGTCAGAATATTCAGATCTTCTATTTCTGGCTGGGCATTAGAAACTGAAAAACAGAATAACTTGTTGAGAAAATCCTATTCTTCAGCTTTACCATCTTTTTCATGAGTATCTCTGTATTATAAATAAGCAATTCATTTTTCATTTGGAGGTTTTTATGGCCCATGTTAGAAAAAGAAAGCCATTTGCACTAGGGCCTTATTGTCAAAAACTTAACTTAAGATGATTTTATTGTTATAGTCATCTGATTGGACAAACACTAAAATCAAGTTTTATAATCCAATTAGATTGCTGTATTTCTTAAAATCTGGATTTTACCCTACTCAAGTTTTCAAGAATAAGGCCCCTGAACTCAAGCTATATAAGCTAATGTGTATCAATTGATTATGGTTGCTTCAACTGGAGTATACATCAACTAATTTGTAGCTTGTAATGATAAAAGGTTAACAATAAATAAAAGCACTTTAATAGACTTTTCTCACCTTTATATTTACCTTCCACAAATTTAAGAGTAAAACAATAATGTAATGATGTATCTTTGGGATCAATATTGGTAAAAATAATCTCTAATTCTTGATCTAAAATTATTAATTACTATCTGTAATTACAGCTGTTAAAACACATATACTGTTAATGCTTTAACACAATGCAGACAAAATATTTTGATTCAAGATGAAAATGTATGACTATACCATTACTAATAATGTTCTAGATGTAAATAAATATATTTTCTTTCATTATCAAGTTCTTTATAAACACAATTTACCTGTAGTACTTTTAAACTTTAAACCAAGTCTCTCTTGAAATAATCTGTCAGTTTTCTGTAAATCACTTAATTTCCCATGTGATTGTTGTTCTACAGATTCAATTTCTACAATTAAGCCAAAAATAGAGCAATCTGTTATTTCTTATTACCCAGTCCCCGATTTGAATACAATTATCAGTGCATATGGTTCTGAAATGTGAATGTTTAAAATCTATTCCACTTAAAGATACAACATTCAAATGATGGTGATATTATTCCCCTCTCACATCACTTTCTGTAGAATAACTATAGGGCACAGAGAAACAGACATATTCAATTTCATTTAAAACAGAACTTTACCTAACTAATACACAATTTTAAGGGGGACCTACTTTGTTTCATATATTCTTTATCTGATATTGATGATGTTAAACATTCAGACACCAGTTTCTTCTCTTCATCTTTAATTTGTATTTCTTGTAATAAAATACACAACTCATTTTCTAACTCTTCTAATTCTACTTTCTTTTCTGGAAAACAATCAGATTTTATACACTTAATCTTTCACATCAACTTTAACTGTTCCACTATTATATGGTTATTTTATTTTAAAATATACCCAGCAAATTGTTGCATATTTCATCTATAACATTCACACACTTCAAATTAACATAGCCTATACATTTATATTTTACTTTATGAATTTAAATGGTAGAGATTAAGTTATGGAAATGATAAGGAGAGATAAAAAAAAATGTACCTACTGTGTGCAGTAGTTTTTAAGTCTTCATTAACTTCTATAAGCTTTACTCTTTCAGCTATAGAAGAAATAAATTGGTTGGTCTATATCACATAGCAAATTCCTTAAGAGGGCATTTACTGAAAGGAATGGTTACTTGACATTTTATCAGATAAATTTATCATTTAAGAGTAGACAAGACAATGTGCTATTACTTTAAATAGCAAAAGGACAAATTTAACATCTGTCAGAAATAAATAAACTTATTTAGTTTGGAGAAAATAAAATACCATCTGTTTTCCTTTGTAATTCTCTTAGTAAATTAACATTCTTATCTACAGGTTTTCTAAATTTTTGTGTCACAGTCTGTTTCTGTGTACTTCTGTTCTTTTTTAGAGTCAGTAACTGTGTTAACTTATCCATCTGAAAAAGAAATATTATGGATGATAACAATGAATTAAAGATTTAAAAATGCAAGTCAGGATGTCAGTGCCACATCTCATTTAGAAATGCTTTTTACCATCTAAAAATATTGGAAAGGAAAGGCTTTAAAGTCATTTGATTAATTACTATTTCCTATTAAATTAGCCTATTAGCTAAACTAAGTACCAGTAACTAACATTAAGTAAGAGTTTGATAATCTTATCATGTTTCACATAATCTCACTTGACAATGTTCCAAAGAATATAGAGGATTTCCAATGAATTGGAGTTATAAGATCTACACCTGATTGCACTGTATGAAGTTGGAAACTGCAAATAATATGTTGTCGTAGTGTCACTGTCAGACCAGAGTCGTTTTCGTCGCACGATTCGATTAGGTAGATTAACTATTTTGTACATTTGTGAGCCAGGACATATAGGCTAATCAGTGCATTTGTGAGACAGTTTATCTAAACTGATTAGGCTAATCGACCTAACCGTCCCAGTAGGTGGTTAGGCAATTCGATTAGGTGTGACGTCATAGGTAAATTTTACTATTGGCTAATTTGATCAATGTTTTCTATATAAACATAGATGTCATTGGCTAATATTAATAGACAACCATCTTTTGTTGACAATGCAGTCAGCTATATCGCTGGTATGACATTTGTTGGCCACTGCAAATCGTACCTAATCGTACTAGCAAATCAAAACCTAATCGAATCGGGTGACAAAAACGACTAGGATATTAGTACAGTCAAGTAATCTAATTTCGTGGAAACCTATTTTTCGTGGATTTCCGGAAATGATTAATAATTTACATGTGCGACCTTGTGTGCCCTCCGCATTTGCTTGTTTCGATAAACATGGGAGTTTTCTGTACAATATCAGCTAGTAGAATGAATTCAGTAGTTTCAAGCAAGGAAAAATGTATTAATGTATACTTTGACAAATACAAAATGGCGGATTTCAGTTATTACCAAACATCACCATTTTTTATCGGCCGAATTTACTTATAATACCAAGCGGTAATCGGAATTTCAAGCGTCGTCTGCTAGAATGTAGTCCAACGAATGAGGTCACGTGATCAACTAGCGGATTCCGTGTCAGCAGAAAATTTCTATGGAACACAAAGTGGACCATATTCTTATGTTGTTTCAGTGACTTTTAGCAATAAATCATGTTACGTATCTTATTTTGTCAGTCACTATTTTTTTTTAAAATCATGGTTCTTTAAATGAATTGTCATTAGTTATAATGAATTGATATTAAAGATAAATACTAAGAGAACTTAATTATACCACCCGGTATCCATACAACGTGTTTTTCTAGACTTATTTATAGATCAAATATTGTACATGAAAATAGGTGACGCTTGTTGCCGAGTTGGTTGCTCATGAAATGTGGGTCAAAGTGAAGGATTCATAAAGAAAATCGAAATAAACCAATTTTATTTATTTTGTAGAATATTTGACAAAACATCTAAGACATAAAAAAAAAATTTGTTTTTTTAACTTTCACGAAATTCGGTGTTGAATCCTTATATCCACGAAAATAGGTTACACCACTGTACTTTAGGGGACTGAGCAATCTGAGAAATTCTGAAATCAGATCAAAATTCCCCCATTTCCCCCGCCTAAGAGTAATTAGATACAGACAAAGTTATCAACCTTAAGTGAGGTAGTATTCCAATAAAGATTTTCTTCAATAATGGCATCGAAATCGTGATAAATGTTGACAACTTGTAGTTTGTTTACAAAATTAAAACATCCGCCATTTCCAGCAAATGGCGACTCTCCGGAAGTTCATTCAACCAATGAAATTTCTCGTTATGTGCAATTTAACAACGCAAAAATTGATGACGTGTACACACGAGCTGATGTTTACGCCATTTCTGTAGAGAAAAAATAATCGTCTTTCAACCAAAATTTTGACTTTCACCCAGATTTAAAACAAATTTCCTGATATAAATCGGTAGCTTTATCAATACTTTCAGAATGGACGAAAGAGAGGTGATAACAACTCTTAAGATATTGATCATAGGTGAAAGTGGAGTTGGCAAATCAAGGTAAAATATGTAAACAAACGAAGTCGAAAGAAGAAGACGAAATAAATACGATATAGTCATTATCATTGCCTATGCTATGTAATGATAGGCATAGAAACCTGATATTGGGTTTGATAATATTGGGCCTACATACCTAGTGGTTTTACAGGAGGCATAATCAAATTAAACATTTGACTTTTTGTCCAAATACTGGATTTGCTGCAAAATATTTTTACCAGTGCGAGTATCACTATTATTAGCACATCATCAACGACAACTCCAAGACATAAGAAAAATACAAAGACTCTTGAGGAGTCTTATAAATGTACATTTAATTATAGGTTAAAGTGATATTCCCTTCATTATCAAAAACGTCGTAAAAGACCTGAAAATATTTCTAAAGTATGCTATTTATATCTATGTATCTTCTTGATTAAACTGAATTTATTTTGAAAGGGTTAATAAAGATGGAGAGCACTAATTGTCAATTTGGCAGTTTGACCTAGTTTTAATTAGTTACAATTAGGCGTTTATTTTACTCAAATCCGTACACTAGTTTTTTCTGCACACTGACCCAACTCTCTTATCTAACTAGTTTTGTAACAGCTTCTTAAAAACATTACTTAATGAGTTTTAAATATTTTTGGCTTTTAAATATGAACGACAGTAGTTTTTTGTACAAAACTTTCTGATACGTTAAAGGGCACATTTCTACAGATTTTGTGTCTAGTTTTTACAAATTGAATTAAATTAAAAAATTTTTAGACCTACAAAAAATAGCGGAATGTCTCTTTAATGATAGAATTTAAATATAGATTATAATCATTATTCTTAGTAAAATTGGAGGTTTGAGAGACGTATTGTTAAGAAAATTTGTGATACACTATAAATAGGCTAAGATATATGATTGATAGTTATTCGTTCTAATTTGTCTTATAAATGTTTTTCAGTTTATTATTACGGTTCACTGATGATACTTTTGATCCTGAGCAGGCAGCCACGATAGGTAATCTTAATTACTGTACCCATTGATTTATCTTAGGTTCCATATTATGTTACAATTTTTCTTGTTTAAAAAACCTTGAAGGTGATTTCTGGTCCTGGATGTATATATGTTGCACACTTAAACTTAGAGCATCTTTTTGTACCACTCAGATTTCCCTTTACTCTTCAGTAGTTCTTGTAATCATGGAAAATTTTAAAGGGATTGTAAAGGGTTTTTTAATTTTTCATGTGTACACTATCAGGTCCACTGATAGCATCAATTTGCACCATTCCAATTTTCAATCAGACATCTGTGGTTCCTGCAATTCCACTTAAACTTAGTGTTTGATGATGTCACTAATGGCGAAATATGCATGTATCACAGAAGGCCTTTAGCGATAAGTGACATCATCAAACACTTATTTTAAGTGGAATTGCAGGAGCCACTGACGTCTGATTGAAAATTGGAATTGTGCAAATTTATGCAATCAGTGTCACAGATACACATAACAATATTAGAAAACCTCATTACAATCCCTTAAAAAATTTTTTCTCTGTACAGACTACTGTTATAAGATTTGAACGACATATAGAAGCGAGGAGCACATATAACAAAACACAAGACAATATTATGGAATATAACACACTTCTTTAATAAGGTTGGGCACATTATTGTCTCTCTTAATCACTTGTTATTACCCCTTTTATCTATTGTCCCTCATAATCTCTATATTGTTTCTTGTTGGTATATATTTTGTTATGTTTTATTCTCTTGCCATTACATCTGATGACGACACGTGTATATTGTGTTGAAACGTTATGTGCCCAACCTTATTAAAGAAGTGTGTTATATTGCATAATATTGTCTTGTGTTTTGTTATACAGACTATTGTTATTTATAGAAACAAACTAATGACTACATCAACATATTTCTACTGTTATAACTCAGTGTTGATATCAAAGGTCACTTGCCACATGTTCTATTTCTTAGTATAAACCTGCTCAGAATTTATTTCAGTACAACCACACTAGTTACAAGATAATTACATAAATTTTAATACTTTAGTTTTAAAGAGAGGGGTGTCACTTAGAAAGTTCTCTGGAAGAAAACTAATTTTGTTTTATATATTCTTTAAAGGTGTTGATTTTAAAGTGAAGACTTTAGCTGTAGATGGAAATAAAGCTAAATTAGCCATCTGGGTAAGAATAAAAAAAAATGTTATGAATGTCAACTATCAGTGGGTCCAAGTTTATTCAATGAAACATGAAAATGACCTTTTCTCTTAATATATTGGTGGAAGGTGGAATTATATTTCTATTAACTATTGGGGAGTGAAATGTTCTCTTGCCTTTTTTAACCTTTACTTCTGGGACTTGGATTATTGCTTTTCGAAAAATCTTGTTTTTTTGTTTATTTTAGGACACTGCTGGACAAGAGAGATTTCGTACTCTTACACCAAGTTATTACAGAGGAGCACAGGGAGTTATATTAGGTAGGTAATATATTCCTTCTGTCTTCCTTTTATTTTCATGATGTCATTATTTTTAATTATCTTACCAATTATTATTACTTTTTTATATAAATCTATGAAAAATATACAACAATTATTTTATTTCAGCATATTTATATATGAAGTAAACAATTATTATTGATATATACAATCATTATTATATTTGAGTATGTGATGTTAGTAGTAAACAGTTGTTATTAGTATATAAATTATTATTATATTTCAGAATATGATTTTAGTAGTAAACAATTGTTATTAGTATATAAATTATTATTATATTTCAGTACATGTATATGTATATAATAAACAGTTGTTATTAGTATATGATAAGATTATTACATTTCAGTGTATGGGAGTAGTCATTATTAGCTTATAAAAAGATTATTATCTCAGTAAACAGTTTAATATGATACACAGTTGTTATTAGTATTTAAGATGATTAACTTATTTCAGTGTATTACTTTTTCAGTATATGATGTATGTAGTAAACAATCTTTTAGTAAGTTAGATGCCTGGTTAAACGAATTGGAAACATTCTCTACTAAACATGATATGGTAAAAATGCTAGTTGGTAATAAAATAGACAAAGTAAGTTGTCATTATTTGGTATCTCTTTTAAAGGAACCCATAATCAATTTTACCATGGGGGTCCTCTTCCTTGTAGGAAACTGATGTACTAAGTAAAGCCTTGTTTTAAATAAACAAGAAAGAAAGGGAAAGTAAAGAAGATATTCAGTTTGTTTATCAAAACCATTAATCCTTAAAGGATGATATTTTTTTTTACCAAAACAAATTTATATTTTTATTGTCAAAGGTGCTATGAAAAGCTTACATTAATGACATGATTTATCTTCATCATAGGATGTAAAACTCAATTTTATTCTTGATACTATTTGATTGATAGGAAAAGAGAGAAGTGAGTAAAGATGAAGGATTAAAGTTTGCTAGAAAACATCATATGTTATTTATAGAAGCTAGTGCTAAAACTAAAGAAGGGGTCCAGTGTGCCTTTGAAGAATTAGTAGAAAAGGTAAAAGTTTATTATGTTTGTTATATTTGACTTGTTTCATATCTTTGACATAATTTACTGTCAGAAATCATATTATAAAGTGTCATCAGATGTTTTGGAAAGATTACAATGCTTTGCTTGTAATGCCTTCACTCCTCTTATTGTGGTGGATCTCAATGAAATGACTGTTATTTGTCTTGTTTAACAGTGTGTGGTTTATAGTATCAAATGTGAAGTAGAAATATAAGTATTGTATTTACATTGTAAATTGTATGTAGAGTAGTTGCACATTAATCTAAATACTATATGATTAGTTTTATTTACAGATTATACAAACACCAGGTTTATGGGAAACAGACAATAAAGGTATCACAGTAGGAAGTGGCGGAGGAGCCAATCAAAGTGGTTGTTACTGTGTGGTTTAAGGACAACTATCTAATCAGAATGACTAACTGGCGAACGGAAAAGGTTGTTTTTATGGACTCAATGACCAGCCAAGATGGTTGTGTTATTTTCAGTAATTAATCTGGACTTTAACCCTTTAGTCTTTCAATTTTAAATTGCTAAGTAATGTTACAAATTGGAATGAAATGAAACTTTCAATTTTGGATAGATTTGTGAAATGATAGAAATGGTATCTGAATTATTTGGTTACTATATATGGATACAAATTCAGAAATTACATGAAAGTTATTAAGTGAATAGTTACTATTATAGCTGAATCTTGCTGCCATTTTTTAAGGCTTCATATTATGAGAGGTCTTTTTTATTGGCAATAGGACATAATCAACTCTTATTGTTTTAAGAGGTTTTACTTATTGTCAGGTCCAATGTTGGTTTTTGGTCTATATGTTGAATAACATAATCTAATGATATGCTACTCCTCTTTTATTGAACATAAATTTATATTTTCATTACCACGCGAGTAGTGTACCATTAAATTGTGCTATAAATATTTTTTAGTGTTCATAAAACTTACATGTGGCTAAATTTGCATGTAAGACATAACTTGATTTGTTTCTAAACCATTTTTTATTGCATTTATTGTGACAAGGTACCTGTTAGCTGGAGACCATGAAATTAACTTTGTACTAGTACAGAGGTCTGTAAAAACTTATAAGGTTGAGATATAACCTGTTTGTGGTCACCCCACCTACGTTTACCATATAACCTGTATGAGATCACCAGAAGCACTAAATTCCACGAAATATTAGGTTGATCATATAGTCTATATGTGACTTGTTTGTTATTATATTGGATCACAAAATCAAGAATTGGCAATCCTCTTTCAGTTTCAATGTGTGATTTAAACACATAATTCAAACATGATAATGAGGTCAAAAGCTTTACAGAGAGACTTCCTTTGGCATGATCCAAATTTTCAAATACCGGTTTAGGTCTTTAGTCGATATATTTAGCGCATTATTTTGCAGAAAAAATACATTCTGAAATGGATTATTTTTTTCTTACCTCAATCTCTTGTTTTAATTTTGCTTTTTTTCTAAATTGATAGTAATTGTAGCTAAGTTATAGCTTGCCATAGAAATATCATATGAGACTACTGAAATCCCGCTTTCTAAGGAGTTGACACAAGATGTTAGATTTTAAGCTGCCCTGCATTAAATTGATGAAAAAATAATTTTGTCCTCTGAATGATTGCTCTACAAATCTTATATAAATTATAGTTTTGATGTATTTGAAGCTTTTAAAATACATACTTATTCGTTTTCAGCCTACCAAAAAAAATATGAAAAATCATTTGTAAATAGATTTGTAATTTAGAGTGGAAAATGGGTTACTATATTTTATTTGTATGTTGGTAAGCATACAGTATGCCCAATCTTTAAGCATGAGCAGTTTACCAAGTTCTTTTAGAAGAACATACATCCTATTTTCAAAATCCATTGCCTTTAGGTAAGCTTATTGATGAATTATTTGTGTTGTACATTTCAAGTGCATACATCTAACAATATCTAGTGCATTTAAAACTATAGTTGAATTGCTTGCCCAACGTATATTTAGATAGATTTTTCTCTGAAGTTCTACTCTAGCTACCATGCAGAAAGTCAACAGCTTTGCATTAAAACATGAAAACAGATAAATACATTTTTTTCACTATGGGTGAATTGCAAGAGTTTTAACTTATCATGTATGTAATATATGTATCTTTTGTTTGTACAGATATGATTTTTATATGGCCACATCTCTCTATGTGGACGTATATTGTCGGCACCCCTGTCGGTCCGTCAACATTTGCTTGTAAACGCTCTAAAAACTAGATTTTTTGATGGAATCGAATGAAATTCGGTATGTTTATACATATTCATAAAGATCTAGTTCAAATTTGAGCTATTTTCGACCGTTAGAAGCAGAGTTGCCACAAAATCTTGAATATGCTATTACTCTCTTAGTTTTCAACAGATTTTGATGAAACTTAAAATGGATGTTTCGTTTTTACCATCTGCATGCCGTGGTGGGCGTATATGGCTGTGGTCCACTATCTTTATTATTTGGGTTTAGGCTAATATTATTTCATAAAAAATGTGTTTGTATTGTTAATATTATTGTAGTTTATAATTTAGTTTAGGTTTTAGAATTTTACTTTTGTACATAGATTTCAATTAAGTTTTAATAATACTTTATTTTTTGATAATATAGAGTAGTCTCAGTATTTCTTCCTCATTCAAAATAAATTATATTGTATATTTTACACAATAAATATTTCATTAAGCTTTTTTTCTTTAGTTATCCTCATGATTTAAAAATGTTAAATGTCAATGATGCAGTTTAGAGTGACTAATATGGAAATGGCATTAAGTCATTTGAATGAGTGATTGCTGTAAACCAAGGCCTTTTAAAGATTCCATAACAGTTATAAATCAAATGGAGAAGGCTAGGGTTGCTATTTTGGTCAAAAGTCCTTCATTGCACTTTCATTTATTTTATTCTAATGGTAAACATCACCTCAGGGTACCATTATTTCATTTTAACAGATCATCATGAATATATGTCATTGAAACTTTGACAAAGCATGTCAGCAACCAGCAGTTGAATGAGGTCGATAATGGATATCTATATATATATAGAACAATTACAGAAACCATTTAAAACAATTTAATAGCATCATTTATCTGTGCTAATCAAGCTAGATAACTCAAACATAACAACAATGAATAATATATATACAAAATGATTCCAATTATAGCTCAGTCACACAGAAACAGTCCAGATAATTATCTAAAGTCAATTTGCATAGAAATATTATAAAGCACATACCGGTAATTAAATACAATAATCAACATGAACAATTCTTTAAAGCAAATTTGACCATGAATTGATTTAAAACGAGGAGTTATAAAATAGTCACATTCCTTCAATAAAGGTTTCAAGTTTCCATTTTTCCCTCAAAATTCTTATTTTCACTTGTACTAGAAATTACAACATGTCATCTGAAGCCCTTGATTAGGATGGCTGTCTGAATACATTTCCAAAATACTAACAAAAACCAATATTCAGCATTTGTTTGCATGTCAAAACAGTAGCAGAACAACAATAAGCATACATATTTATGCAAGGTACAATTTCTTTTCTTTTTTCAATTTTCAGTACCGTAGTTTTCTTGATAATGAATGTTGTAGCCTGAACACCTTGTTTTAAAAAAGCCTAATAATAAAGCACATGAAAAAAAGACTGGTATTGTATTCTAAAGCAAATCAAAGAAATAATCCAATCCTTGACCAATTTCCCAGATAGATATACCAGTATTTAGTTCTCTAGCTAAGTCAAGTCTTTCTTGAATAGATTTCAAAGATGGAAACCAAACATTGTCATTTCCTATATCTTTTTTCACAATCATTGAATGTTCTTTATGGTCTTCGTGCCAGACTAATTTGGGCTTTTTCAGTTTCAATGTCTCCATATAGGTTGATCCAACAATTGCTTCAACCTCGCCCATATTGGAGTATCGGTAGCCATAAAAATTCAGACCCAACAGAACCTTTTTTCTCAATCCAGAGTCATCTGGAACCAATATTTCAACACATTTTCTAACCCAATCTATTGGAGCATTGGGACCAGGATTTATTACAGATGAATAATCATAAGTCATTAAACTAAATCCATCAATTTTGTCAGAAAAGTCATCAAAATTAGCTTTTGATATCAGTCCTGGATTGTTACCTGCATAAATTGGAGGAGGTAGAACCAAAATAAATGTCTTTTTGGCATCATGGAAAAAGTCTGCAACATGATTGATAAAATGGATGAGTTCATTCCGATTGGTTCCTCCGAGAGAGGACCAAATTTCTAAAACCATGCCATCAAACTTATTCTTTTTGAGGAAGTTCAGAATAAAACTGATGCAATCTTCAACAACATCCTCATCTGTAAACAAAGCTCTATAATCATTGCTAGTCCACTTCTCAAATAATATTCTTGGTAGAATTTTTGTATGCCGGTCCTTTTTCACATCTTTCATCCATCCCTTGTCAATGTCATGAGCACCACCCATAGTAAACTGGCCACCAGGTTTTCTGTGAATCTGAAGCCAAACTGGACTTATGAATTCAAACTTTCCACCAAATATTTTGGCAGTGTCATAGCCATGGTTATTCCATGGTGTCACATACCCCAGAACGTTGCCTGAAAATTGTTTAATGTCTTTTGATGCTACACAGTAAGATGCATGCTCTTTAGTGATATCTTTCCATTTGATTTTTTCTTTTACTAAACCTCTTTCATCAACAGTTTCATCAGATAAACTTGCTTTTTCATTTTTTAGTTTCTTATCATGTTTGCCAAGCGTTGCCGTGCTACATTTCACCATGCAGATGGCAATAGCTATCATGACAAATGTGGATTTAGTTGTCATTATTTCCTTATTATGAAGGCTACCAGTACTCTAAAAATCTACTATGAAATGAAGTAAGCAACTTTACAGACAGGACAATTGGTAATAGGCTACCAATATTAAATGGAAATAATTTAGTTTCGGACTATTGCGAAAAATACAAAACCAAAGTTCTACCATAACCAATCACATTCATTAACTTTTGCAACTAGGCCTATGTTAGGCTATATAATGGATGATTTAAGTGTTGAAGCCCAGACCTGGCAATGTTTTTCTGTCTGAGAGGTAATGCACTTTATTGCCTTCGAATTAGTTGCTGTAATATAACCTTTGACAGAAGAAGAATGATTGTCTTCCATCTACTGTCATGGTTTTGTTGATGTATGCTGTAACAAAATTCGTCTGCAACTGCTCAAGAACTTTTTACACGTTGCTTCCGATTTCACTGTGATAATTTCATGCTTGACAATCCCAACTATCCGGAAGTATTAACTCTCGATTGTCACAGAAAAGATTAGAAAGAAGATACTGGAGTCATCCGTAACTCTAAGCATAGATAATCATTAATTACTTGAATTGCTCTCATCGATAACATCGCGAATCATTTAGATACTCAACATTCAAGTTCAAAGATTACAAATGCATATCACCTCATTTGTTCTCTCAGAGATATCAGTGTTAAATTTACAAAGAATTTTTGTAGTACAGATCATCGGACTAATTCCCATAATTCCCACTTTGAGAATAGCCTGACGTCACATGTTAGAGCTCTCTCGTGTTGTGAGTCGCTGTCGACATTTCCACCTTGAAATCATGTCAGTCGTACGTCCCGTCGCATTTCGTCTTTTACACACCAACAAGGTAATAATTTTGTACATTTTCTTCTTTTAAATCGGCTTGTGATTTTTAACATCTGTAATTTATCAGTACAGTGCTTGTTGTCTGGAAAATCTGTATGTGATTATTGTGACACTGATGGTGCAGTGCGAGTGGAGAAGTTGATGATCCATTCATTCATTATTGTCAACCGACCCAACCTAACTACCCAACTAATAGTAACTAGGCCTAGTCTCGTAGGACTTTTGCAAAAAACAAGGTCGATGTCTAGTCAAAATTGTAGTTATAGGGTGACATTTCAGTCTTCATGATTGCTGATTATATAAATTGATCTATTATGGAAATCAAGGCCAAAATGTCTTTTTAATTTCACTTTACTAGGCCCACTACCTGCACAATCTTCATAATCTAGCACTGAACTTGAAAATGTAAAAAAAAAAGGAATTAATTTTGTCTAGTGCTTGGCCCGAAAAAAAAGGATGAGCAAATTCAAATAGTTGTAGGGTACAAGCTTGCTTTATGTAATGGGAAAAGGCCTGTGCTAATTGTGTAAAGAGCAAGACAGGAATTGTGGAAATGAATTGTTTTGTAGTGCATATTCACGCGATTTTATGAACAAGAATGTTATATTTGAAAGGTATAAAGCATTCAAAGTCTGGGTCCAAAGTCCAGGTATCTCAATATTGACATGAGTAGTTTTACTCTTTATTCATCAAACAGTTTCTTACAGTCTAGCTATAAGATGGAATATCTATTTGAAAATTAAGATTTTAAGGTCCAAAGTCTAATATTATGGTTTGAAATATATAATGTTTATATATATGATACACTTTGGCAAAGGTTACTCCAAAAAGTTAACCTTATTGAAACTAATAAACCTTATTAAATGACCTTGATAGTTCAAGCATGACTTAACCAACAACTTGAGTGGACATGCTTCACAGACATTTTATAATCTATTACGGTGACCAAATAGGCCAACTATAGAAAGCAATGTTCTTTATGAATGTATTTGTGTTTTACAGGGTAATTTTTTTTTTAAGTCTTTGAAAGAAAAGTATGTTAAGTAAGTTCTATTCATCCAGAAATGCAACATCTAGCAGACCATCTACTGTACATAATGTAATAGACTAAGTTCTCATATGGTACTACTGATACCATTTTAATGAGACACCTTTATGATATCAAACTAGTTTTTCTGTTCTGTTCAAAGCTATTCTCAAAGTCTTATATAATCTATTGTTTTTGTATCTTCCAGAATGTGTTGTCCAGTGTTGGGTGTGTGCGACATGCAACAACAACTACGGTATGTAACGCACTAAGGTAGTCCTTAGCCTACTGACTGAACTATGTTCACTAGATGTACACAAAGTATTATTGTTCTATTCATGATATAATATAAAACTTTTATAATTTTCAAGCAAACATTTAAATAACCTACATTGTCCATAAAACACACTTTTTTTTCAGAATTTAAAAGATTTTTTAGCAGATAATATCCCAAAGAAACAAAATGAAGTTAAAGAATTTCGTAAACAGTTTGGCTCAACTAAAGTGGGGGAAGTCACTGTTGATATGGTGATTATATTATTGTTTATCAATGTTTTGGAATTGAGTCATCTACATAGATAGAGGCCATACAGCTATTATAAGATTTATATTTTCACATCATTCTTTTAATAATTTTTAAACCAAAAGGGATAGAGTCACCTGCGTCTGCATACATGTATTTTATTTTCCCTCTCAATTTCACATCTGGGATCTCCTAGTATACAAACACATAAGTTTACTCCATCAGTTAAGACAGTCTTTTCTTCAAGGATGCTGGAGACATTCTCACATGCAGTTACTGATATTATGAATTGGCAATATATATGTGAGAATACAAACAAAAGGCAGCAGAGGTCCAAACTATCCCGTATTATTGTAACCTGATAATGTCTACTGATAAAATGTAAAACATTTAAGGGGTTTTGAATGTAGTTCTAATCTTATACTTAGCTAATTATAACATGTTGGAGAACTCATTTATTTTTTTGGCAGATGTATGGTGGTATGAGAGGTATTAGAGGATTGGTGACAGAGACCTCTGTTTTGGATCCTGATGAAGGTATCCGTTTCCGTGGTTACAGTATTCCAGAATGTCAGAAGTTATTACCTACTGCTGGTGGTAAAGGAGAGGAACCTCTACCAGAAGGTTTATTTTGGTTGCTGGTTACAGGCGAAATTCCAACACAAGCACAAGCAGACGCCATTACAAATGTAAGTATGGTGTCAATTCTCAGAAATGATTTTAAATGCCCAACTGACCTTTTTTGTTTGAAAGGTTATTCCTATCTAGGAAAGAACCAAGCATTCTATGGTAATTTCAAGTTCATTGATGAATGATTGCCAGAGCAAGCTTATGGATGAGTGCTATAAGGTGTAAGATTATATTGAACATTAATAGGAAATGTTAACCTTATATATGTGTTTAGCAGAATCCTATGTATATAATTTTCAACTAGCTTTTGTATGGAAAAGACATATTTTTTTGAATTAAGAATTGTTAAATACCGGAATTGTGAGTATTTACCTTACCCTATGAATAGTGTGGTCAGTATTTTCTATTTTCTTTTGATGCTGACTATATTTATAATTTTTTCAATAACAGGAATGGAACCAGAGAGCTTCTATACCAAACCATGTCATTACAATGTTAAATAACTTTCCTACCAATTTACATCCTATGTCACAGTTCAGTGCAGCAATTACAGCCTTAAACTCTGAAAGTAAATTCGCTAAAGCTTATGCTGAAGGTGTGAATAAGTCCAAATATTGGGAGGTAGGTGAATATTGTACCATTTAACAGAAAAGTCCCTGTAGGATGAAGTTTACAATTAAAAGTTAACTTAGTCTGCTGAAATTAGTGCTATTTGATTAAAATGATTACTAAGTTTATATAAGTTAAGATTAGTAATATTAGGCATGTTCAAAAAGAAAGATCTAATGCCCTTGTTTGACAGAAAATTTCATTTTTTAGTCAAATATGGATTAAAATGACTTTTCTTGCCCTAATGTGCTTTCTTGTTTTTTTTCACAACAGTATGTGTATGAAGATTCTATGGACTTAATAGCTAAGTTACCAACACTAGCAGCTGTTATTTACCGTAACTTATATCGAGATGGTTCAACACCTTGTGCTATTGATCCCAAAAAGGACTGGAGTCAGAATTTCTCTCATATGTTAGGTTTTGAAGATCCTCTCTTCTCAGAGTTAATGAGAATGTATTTGACAATTCATAGGTTAGTTTCATTACCAACTTTGATATTTTATACATGCTGAAGAAATGCTTCTGTCCTTTTGCTTTTGTTGGAATATCAACTTCAAAATAGTACTAATTGTCTGAACCTGATCCCGTAACTTGCATTTAACAAATTCTTAAACATAGATATACCCTTTCAATGGTATAGAAACAGTTCATTTTGAAATAATACTAAGTTTTAGCACAAAGGTTCATGTTGGTATAATTTACAGTATATATTCATACCAAATTAGTAGCTACTAGACGAAATGTATCATGAATTATTCTTAAGTAAAATTTTGGCAATATAAAAGAAATATATTGGTGTAACCTAAACCATAAAAAATTATGATATTGCTGTGTGAGATCTCAAGAGCCATTTATGTACTAATTAGAACTGCGTTTATTGTGACTACATGATTTGATGTTTATTTCTTACAGTGACCATGAAGGTGGTAATGTGAGTGCCCATACAACACATCTAGTGGGTAGTGCCCTGTCAGATCCATATCTAAGTTTCTCTGCAGGTATTAATGGTTTAGCTGGTCCTTTACATGGTTTAGCCAATCAGGTACATATATTTCAAATTTAATTAAGCACTTTCTATCACAAGTCCAGAAGTAATTATTTCATTCTGGCTGTTGCACGTGAAAAGTTCGTAATTCTTTTGTACAATGTTGATGAAGTTCAGGAATCAAATGATAAGGAGGGAGATTTTCCAAGTTCTTTTATTTTCAATCAGCAAAATTGATTTTGACCTAGAATATTAAACGAAAGAAATCTATATGGTGAAAGGAAGGAACCAATTTTTGGGGTTGAAAATCACATAATTCCTTCAAAAATTTTGACGATTAAGAATTGTTTGGTTCGATACTTTGGGCACACAAGTGGTCTTGGTTGGAGATTTGTCATGTCAAGAGTTTCACTGGCATGAGCGCACAAGGAGACAGAAATATTCATTATGTTGTTTTCCAACATGTACATAATCATGTGCGGAGCATGCAATTGAAAGGAAAATGAGCCTGGTTCAATGATGAAGATATGTCTTGCAGACAAAAAATATCAGAGACAAATATCAAATCCTGTCGGAGGCACGATAATGTTGTCTTGGAAGCACAGGCACACATAAGATTTTACTCAAGACTCTAATTGGCGACAAAAGTCTCTGATCAAGACTGCTAGTGTGCCTGCACCTTTAGGGACTGAAAGCCTAGCTTACTGAGACATTGTCATTCATAGAAAAATACTGACTGTTCAGTTCTATATTTATTTGTAGGAAGTATTAGTATGGGTAACTAAATTACAAGAACAATTAGGAGGTGAAGTCACTGATCAACAAATGCATGATTTTATTTGGAATACACTGAAATCTGGTCAGGTAAGTCACACTTACACAGGAAATCTTACAGTAGGTTATTTTAGTAAGACTAATTCAAAACAGAAACTCACCCAGAACAAGTGAAGTATCATTGCCACCATAAATGTACTGAATGTGACTATCATCCTTTTATTATAGAGAGAAAAATAAATATTGTTTAAATCATCTTTTATTTGACCACAGCCAAAACTGTTTTGAAAGTGATATATTATAGTTTGATAGTTCTCAGCTGGTTTAACAAATTTTAGACGATTATATCCCTTTCAGTAAATGTATGTATTTATTTACAGGTTGTGCCAGGTTATGGCCATGCTGTATTACGTAAAACTGATCCTAGATATATGTGTCAACGAGAGTTTGCCCTGAAACATCTACCTAATGATTCGTTATTTAAACTAGTGGCTCAGTTATATAAAGTAGTGCCTGATATATTATTAGAACAAGGAAAAGCTAAAAATCCGTGGCCCAATGTAGATGCCCACAGTGGTGTATTGTTACAAGTAAGTTTGTGTTCTTTGTTTTTGTTTTTGAATCATCTGGGGGGAGGGGGGATGGGGGAGTATTGTAAGAAATGTGTGATGGAGATCTTTCCTTTGTCATATTTAGATTAAAATTGAAAAACGGTATTATATATATCATCATTAAGGCCATACAAAATAAAAAGTCTGTTTTACAGGCCTTTTTTTTCCAAAATCAGGGCAAGAGGGAGAAGTTATTATTTATAAACGCTTTTTATACGCCCACATAGAAATGTGGACTTATATTGCCGTTGACCACGTCCGTCCGTCCGCATTTGTTGTATGCACGATAGAGGCTACAGTTTTTATCTGTTCTTGATGAAACTTGGTTTGCATGTATATAATGACAAGATCTCGGTCAAGTTCGAAATTGGTAATCGGATGAACGGTTTCAGACTTATTGCCCTTGAATTATTAAAAACGAATTGAATTTGGCTTGTATGCACGATGAAGGCTGCAATTTTTATCCAATCTTGATGAAACTTAGTATGCTTGTAGATATTGATGAGATCTTGATCAAATTTGAAATTGGGAATAATCGAATGAATGGTTTCAGAGTTATTGCCCTTAACTTAGTAAAAACGCATTAAATTTGGCTTGTATGCACGATAAAGGCTGCAATTTTTATCCAATCTTGATGAATCTTAGTATGCATGTATATGTTGATGAGATTTCGATAAAGTTCAAAATTGGTAATCAGATAATCGCTCTCAGTTTTTTGCCCGTGAGTAAAATTGCGTTAAAATTGCCTTGTATGCCCAATGAACGCTGCAAGTTTGAAGTTGGTAATATTTGGATGAACGATTTCATAGTTATTGCCCTTGAATTTGGCTTTTAGGCAGGCTATATTGATGAAACTTAGTATACATGTATATATTGATGAGATATCGGTCAAGTTTGAATTTTGTGAAAACCCTACAAATTTGGCTTGTAGTCATGATACAGGGTGCAGTTATTATCTGATTTCGATGAAACTTGGTATGCATGTATAAAAGATCTCAGTCAAGTTGAAAATGGTAACAATCGGGTGACCGTTTTTGGAGTTATTGCCCTTGAATATATTCAATGCGTCTAATTTGGCTTGTACCCCTGATAGAGACTACATTTTTTATACGGTCTTGATGAAATTTGGTATAAGATCTCAGTAAAGCTTGTAAAAATCGGATGATTGGTTTCACATCTTAAATCACTACAGACTTTGTTACTTTGTTATCATTTCTGACAGCTGGTAGTAGGCGTATGTTACCTTGCCTTGCAAGCTATCTTTAGTTTTAAATCAGAGCGAGCGAAAGCATTTATTATTTGTTGTCACAAATTTAATGTACATTTATTATTAAGGCAACAATCAGGCATTTTTGGGCCTGTAATACAGACTATTTTGTATGACCTAACATATAGTGTGTCTTTACCTCTTATATTTTCTTTCTATTTTTTTTTCAGTATTTCAACCTGAAAGAAATGAACTACTATACAGTGTTATTTGGAGTGTCTAGAGCTTTGGGATGTACTGCATCTCTCATCTGGGATAGAGCCTTAGGCTTACCAATTGAACGACCCAAATCATTTGACACACCCGGTCTGAAGAAATTAGTAGGAGCTAAATAAATCTTGACATGCAATTGTTAGTTGTTATTTAATTGTAAAAGAAAATTTTTATAACTTTTGTTGCCAGACTTAAGTAAGGGTGTATTTATTGCAGTTGATATTTCATTGAAAAACGAATCATCAAAAATTTCAAAACTTCAACATTTTAACATTACATTATCTAATATTTAAGAGAAATATCTGCATAAAACATTGGAATAACAGACTTTTGGTTTTTACAATATTTTATAAATGTATTTTCAACCAAGTAACATTAAATTAATTGAACACAGACAATATCACCAAAGAAGCGAATATGTTGTTTTAAAGAAGTAATGCTACTATTATAAATTTCTTAAAGAATAGTAAACATTTTGGTAAGAAGAGTCCTGTAGATCTCGATAAGGGTCCCATTGCACTGTACTAAATTTATAATTCTGAACAGTGTGTATGAAAAACTATGGAATGTTGTGGCGTTTCTTTTTGTAGAAAATCATAGGATAAGAATCAAAATAACTATTATAAGTATGGCATAAAGGTGCTACAGAAATTTATTTTACTGTGATTGTTATTTATTATAGAAAGATCTTATGTTTGTTGATTTTTCAGTAGCCAACAAAATATCTTCTTTTTCTCGTCAATCCTTGTTTGTCAAATAAGATCCTCTTTTGACTAGACTCTTAAATGCTTGATAGTCAATAAGATTGTTGTATGATCAGTTTCAAAAAAACATATCACAATTTTCTAGCTATCCTGGCTTTGCCACTTAAACTTAAACCAAAGTCGTGTGACCAATTGAAAGAAAGATCCAGCTTGGAATTAGAGTCCAAGAACCATTTTTTTGTGGTCAATTTATACTATCTTCAGATGTGAGTAGCAGTATATTGTTGTTTATTGTAAGTTGATTATAAGTTGAGTATGATATTGTCTAGGAGAAGCCTAAAATTCTATAAAAAAAAAATTGTTTGTAGCTGAACATTTCATGTAAAATAACCATTAGAAGTATTTTTAGATACCATCATTCAACCCTAATAAGGGCTATTAAAGGTGGAAATAAATATGTAACATTCACAATTTATTTTTGATTTATCATGAACTTCAGGTGCTATCAACATGAAATGGGATATTTCAATGTATATATTTATATAATGAAGTGGGTTTGGAATGTCGGTGGGTAAAACTAGTCCCATCTCTATAAAATGCAGAATATATTATGATAAAAACTAGACATACTTTATTATATGTATTACTTTACTAGAACTAGACCCCTCAATTATAATAAAACTAGACTAAAAATTATAATAGAACAAGACAGACTGTATTATGATAATAAAACTAGACTGTATCATTATAATAGAATTAAACAGACTGTCTTAGTATTAACAATAGGCCAAGACAGACTGTATTATAATAATAGAACTAGAAAGACTGTATCATAATAGAACAAGACAGACTGTATTATAATAGAACAAGACAGACTGTATTATAATAATAGAACTAGAAAGACTGTATCATAATAGAACAAGACAGACTGTATTATAATAGAACAAGACAGACTGTATTATAATAATAGAACTAGACAGACTGTATTATAATAGAACTAGACAGACTGTATTATAATAGAACTAGACAAACTGTATTATAATGATAGAACTAGATAGACTGTATTATTATTAACAATAGAACAAGACAGAGTGTATTATAATGATAGAACTAGATAGACTGTATTATTATTAACAATAGAACAAGACAGACTGTATTATAATAATAGAACTAGAAAGACTGTATCATAATAGAACAAGACAGACTGTATTATAATAGAACAAGACAGACTGTATTATAATAATAGAACTAGACAGACTGTATTATAATAGAACTAGACAGACTGTATTATAATAGAACTAGACAGACTGTATTATAATGATAGAACTAGATAGACTGTATTATTATTAACAATAGAACAAGACAGAGTGTATTCTTGTTAACAATAGAACTAGACAGACTGTATTATAATGATAGAACTAGATAGACTGTATTATTATTAACAATAGAACAAGACAGAGTGTATTCTTGTTAACAATAGAACAAGACAGAGTGTATTATTGTTAACAATAGAACAAGACAGACTGTATTATGATAATAACAGAACTACACAGACTGTATAATAATAGAACTAGACAGACTGTATTATAATAATATAACTAGACAGACTTTTTCATACTAGAACTAGATAGACTGTATCAGATTGCCGCCCCCATCTCCCTGTCTTATTATTAACAATAGAACAAGACAGACTGTATTATAATAATAGAACAAGACAGAGTGTATTATGATAATAACAGAACTACACAGACTGTATCATAATAGAACTAGACAGACTGTATTATTATTAAAAATAGAACAAGACAGACTGTATTATAATAATAGAACTAGATAGACTGTATTATAATAATAGGACTAGATAGACTGTATTAAAATAATAGGACTAGATAGACTGTATTATTATTAACAATAGAACAAGACAGAGTGTATTATTGTTAACAATAGAACAAGGCAGGCTGTATTATAATAATAGAACTAGATAGACTGTATTATTATTAACAATAGAACAAGACAGAGTGTATTATTGTTAACAATAGAACAAGATAGACTGTGTTATAATAATAGAACTAGATAGACTGTATTATAATAATAGGACTAGATAGACTGTATTATTATTAACAATAGAACAAGACAGAGTGTATTATTGTTAACAATAGAACAAGACAGACTGTGTTATAATAATAGAACTAGATAGACTGCATTATAATAATAGGACTAGATAGACTGTATTATTATAATAGGACTAGATAGACTGTATTATTATTAACAATAGAACAAGACAGAGTGTATTATAATAATAACAGAACTACACAGACTGTATAATAATAGAACAAGACAGAGTGTATTATTGTTAACAATAGAACTAGACAGACTGTATTATGATAATAACAGAACTACACAGACTGTATAATAATAGAACTAGACAGAGTGTATTATTATTAACAATAGATCAAGACAGAGTGTATTATTGTTAACAATAGAACTAGACAGACTGTATTATGATAATAACAGAACTACACAGACTGTATAATAATAGAACTAGACAGACTGTATTATAATAATATAACTAGACAGACTGTATCATAATAGAACTAGATAGGCTGTATAAGATTGCCGCTCCCACCTCCCTTGCAGCCTCGAAAGCAAGTTTTACCTCCTACATTTCTGTACCGTGTAGGCTAATAAAGACGGGCAACGCCATGCAGGGTACAATGAGGGAAATTTTGCAGCGGCATTAGCTTGCTCTTAAAAAACAGAAAGCTATGATCCTAATACTTAGACCTTATATTTATATGGATATTAGACATCTTTTCACCAAATAACAACTTTATAGGACGGACCATTTTGAAATACCAGCCTTTTAAGAATTCCTTGTCAAAAAATATAATTCCGAAAGTAAATACTTTAATTTCTCTCCTTTCATTGAACTAATGGCAAAGCCCAATGAGGACGAAATTTCCAGAAAAAAAAATAATCCTTAAAGGTTTTTCCCGTAATAAATTATCTTCTGAATTTGTAACTTGGAGTATTCCATTTAAAAGATGAATGGCCACCTCCCGGTTACAATCAGTGTGTTTTCTCTAGCTGAAAGAAATAACAATGGAGATGAGCTGGAGAAACTGAAGTGTGTGTGCAAAACCGAAGTTACTGAAATCTATAAACTGACGAATCTGTTGCGTACTATAATGATACTAGTACGTAATACATAATAGTGCGTACAACATTATAGTGCATACAACATAATAGTGCGTACTATACATAATAGTAGTAGGCCTACTATATACTGGTGCGTACTATATACTAGACCGTACTATATACTGGTGCGTATACTATACTCTGGTGTGTACTGTATACTAGTGGGTACTATATAAAAGTGCGTACTATTATAATGATGCGTACAATATAATGGTGCGTACATACTGGTGAATACAATATGCTAGGGCGTACTATATGCTAGAGCATACTATAAATTGATGTGTACTATATGCCGGTGCGCTGGTGTGCACATGCTGCGTGCCGTAAATGTCAAATGTGAGAATATAAATATCCTGCTTTTAAGCTCATAAGCTAACAGCATCGAGAAGCTTTTACGCTGAACGTTTTCGTTGCTTTAGATAATATTGTGTGTTATGTATATAATAGACAACGACTTTAATTACAAAGGACTTAAAAAGAATTAAGCAATATTGATAAACAGTAAAAATCCAGTTATCTGTATAATATATATATTCACTTTCTTTACAGCGCATAGAGGCATTATGAACAAAACCCATTCGAAAAACGTATAACATTCCAGATTCTAATTGGATTAAAGATAAAAAAAACGAATTCCCTAGAAAGTAATAAAGGTCCAGTATTTTCAGTCATATTTTTGTTCTAAAATTTATGACTGACCAATGATCTATGAATAAATAATAAAAGTTATTTTTTTGTTATAATAATAATATATAAATTTCTATTTATAAGTAAAAATTATTTTACACTATATGATTTTAAAAACAATTTCAAAAATTTACATATCAGAAAGAAATTAGAAACAAAGAAAACCATTTCTCAGAATTATTCAGATGTTCCAACAATAGCAGCAGATGCATGGTGTCTAACTAACTATTGTTATATATATTACAATAACAGAATATTTTCACTCTTGAAATAGTGCTCAATGCATCACTTGTAGAGCAATATAGAAATATTCGAATATTTTTTTTATTCATGAATATATTATCATCAAATCTTTATTTCTCTCAAGTTGAAGATTCATAATACAGGTACATAAATAAACAATAAAGAATATTTACAAGAGATGATGGTTAAACAAAATATTAAATATTTTCAAGCCTCCGCCACAATGAGCCACAAAACTAAGCGCAATTATAATCTATGTGTTGATTTTTTAGACCAAAAATTAATATTATTCAATCAAAACAATGTATTACTATATACTTAGAACATAAATTGGCGTAAAGAAAAAATTCTTGTGAATAATACACCATTGATGTCATTGTGTCTGTCAATGTCATCATCTTGAATATTTATTTAAATCTAATTTTAAAAACCAGCAAATTTTTTTTTATTAAATTTTGCTGCCACTAGATGATAAAAAGAACATGTCTTTCACTTCAAATAATTTTACAACATACACTTATCTCCCTTTACCTGTAGGTTACAGACCAATACATACTGTATGATTTAAAAGTAGCTTTCTGCAAATAATTCAGTACAGTCAGTCAATTCAAATATAGCGCTTTTCTGCACCTTATTCGGCTGAAACAAATTTGGAATAAACTATTGGAAATGAAAAAATGAAGAGTTTGAATTACAAATGAAATGTTGTGGTCGAGTTTTTTATTCAAAGCTTAGGACTATAAAATAGTTGAAAACGTATCATATTATTTAGAGATTAATGTGAACCATTCCAATTTTCAGTCAGACGTCCTGCAATTTCACAAAGACTTAGTGTTAGATGACGTCAAAGATCAAGGATATCTTATTATGTTTTACTTAATTACATATGTCCTTAGCGATTAGAGACATCATCAAATATAAAGTTTCAGTGGAATTGCACTGATTGAAAATTGATGCTATCAGTATCCCAGAGTCTATAAAATAGTAAGTAATAGTAACTACTCTCAGCAATACGTGTAGGTAGTAGATTAAAAAACGTATTTTCCGTAAATTTTGGTTTTTTTTTTCTAAGACTCTTAAAATTAAATATATATTTGTTCACTATTCTTCAAAACAAATTGATGTTGAATATTTAAGTTGAAAAAATGTAGTTAAGCAGCACTGAATTTATATCTATAAATATCTTTAAAGTGTAAAATATCACTGAATAAATGATAAATTAAATTGATACATTAAAATAAATCATGATAAGTTTAGGTATAGATTCCATTTCAATGTGCATTTTACATTTAAATTTTATTGATATTTCGGCAAACATTTGAAATTTTTGACTTTGACCATGACAAACAATGACTAATATGAAACGAATTGACGTTTCTTGTAAAGGAAGAAAATCACAATATTTGTTTAATGAAGTAATACATCTTTGAAAATATACGAAATTGTAAAATATTTGATTGTTTTAGTATCAGATTCTTGGGGTTGATTCAATTCTCGACCTTTTAAACAGTTCTCAGTTATTGATAAATTAATGAATTAATAAAAAAAAACTCAATGATATTATCATAGGCAATTTATTTGTTTAAAAAGATAATTAGTTAATTAATTAAGATGATTATTATTATAGTATCTATTTATTATTTTTGAATTTAGTAAAATCATCTTCAAATTACATATTTAATTTCCTGTCTTTATCCTACATAATATATATGTGTTTTAAAATATAAATGTCAGTGATGTATATTCAATGTTTCCGTATTATAGCCACTCTAAAAGTTCATTTATAAAAATTATACTTAGGTTTGCGCATATACGTAAACTTCGACACTTTAACCAATTTAGTTTTATCGAACGAGTAATGAACGGTGAATGAAAGATAAATGAAATCAGATGGGGATCTTTTTTTTAATGTAATAATTTGATAATTATTTGATAATTATAGAAGGGAAATTATTATCATTTTGAAATAAATATTGTAATAATCTGTAAGTATTATGTCAAAATAAAAGTTTTGAAATACATAATGTCTAGAAAAATTTTCATTTTTCAAAGAGAATAATTAATAATATTCGCATAATTTAGTTTGATTTCACGATATAATGCAGAAAATTGTGTAACTTTTTGAAAACTTAGAAATTTGATAGTATAATATGTTGTTATATTTATTTTTGTTATTATTTGAGACAAAATTTCAAATGTATATAAAGAATTAAGATATTGTTGAGTATTTGTCTGTAATTTATCATAAACTGTTTTATGATTGATGCTAGATAAAAAAACTTAATAAAAAAAAATTATCATGGAATAATTTCAGCTGAAGAATTGACTTTTGATATTAAAATATGATATCCGATGATAGACCTTCCATATGAATTTTATTTCTTTCAATACGATAATCTTAGGTTTATGAATGTGGTAATATTTCACAACAACAAACGATGTGTCACTCAAATACCGTCAAGTGGAAGGCGTATGAATTATTCATAAGGGTATTGATGCGTTTAAAAACGCGCGTTAAAAATTACCGCCTCAAAAGTTGATGTATTTTTGGCAAGGTTTGCAGGCAAAGAGATTATCGGTTGAAAGCTTTTGCAATATTGCATTATATTTGCAACTGCAGCTATAGGAGTCGACTACAGGTTTCGTGATTCTACCAAGTGCACAGAACCAAGAAACCATTAAAAATGGAAATGACGAAGTAATAAATTCTTGAATAACGCTGCTCTAATTTCACGCAACGGTAAAAAATGTGGAGTTATGTCACATCAATATTACTTCGCGGAATGCGTTGATTGCGCGCCATTAAGAACGATGTTCGAATTTTTAATTGTTTAACATGAGAAAATGATTAAATGGGGTCATAAAAATTAGATTATCAACGCTCGAAATCATCTCGAAATTATTAATACCCACCGTGTTTTAAATTTTACCTCGCACGGCGCGTGTTCATAAATAATAGAGCCAGTCGTTCGTCACGTGATCAATGTAGGCCAGCAAGATTTGAACTATACAGCCAGCTAGCTGGGTTTTAAGGACAGCCATTACGGCAATTTGGATTATTAAAATGGACGATCCGTGATTATTGTCGAAGATTGAAAATCAAGTGAGTAATACTTTATGATATCTTGTTGCATCTCTGATGTTTGTGGGTGCTGTAATGTTGTTAGGTGCCCGTAAGCGATCAACTTAGGATCTCCTTCTCTAATGGTGTAGACAGTTTTCAAAATGGCGTCTGCTGGATATTAGGACCTTTTATTTACTGACTGATATTTTGTTGTGAAGCTTGTACAGCCGTGGTCAGTCAACTTTGACAGCTGTTCCTTGACACTTAGTTATTTCTTTGTCATCATACCAAATGATTTTGAGAAGATTTAATACGATAATTTTCCGCAAGTCAGATATTTTGAATCATATCAATTGAAAACGCAGATTTTTCGGCAAATATTTAATCTGTCACCGTATATTTGAGAAAATAGAACTTTGTTGCATAATTTTACTACATTTCCTGACGAAAAGAAAACATTGACACATTTCACTTATTTGGAGATTATCAATGATTTCTTTGTCCGTTTTTCGTGATTATGGGCCGTAAACTGAGATTTTATATAAACATTGCCGTAAGCATTATCGTCTTGGAATTTTATCTTCAACATTTTCAGATTTACAAAAATTCGGTTCTAACGCAAATTATCAAGTGTTGTTAAATAGAAATTTTTTTTTTGAATTGATCGATGCCAGGTTATCTACTTTCCAGTTTTTTATCATATTTACTGACAATGTTTGAAGAAATACAATGTTTTAAATACCGCTTTATATCGTAATCAATTTTTTTCTCAAGTTGAACCTTTCAAAACGATATTTTATACTACTTTTCTGATATATTTATCTTTTCCATGCTGGAGAAATATTCCCATGTTTGGCCTAATATTGATGTTTATAAAACTTATATCCAAGACGACTTTATCTCATATTCCCTAGCGCCATGAACAGCCTTTCTAATATAATATGAGCTAGAAATATTTAGGTATTGTCTCTTTACTGATGTCTACTTGGTATTCCGTAATGTTTTTTTTTTCTAAATAGAAGTACTATTTTACAATCCCAATAATCCCCCTCTCTCTCTCTCCGTCTTGATTACTGTTCTCAAGTTTTTGTAGCACCAGATAATTTTCAGCACTAGTGTCAAGAATGTTAAATATATTACACAATATAGTGACTGCTGTAATGTATACAAAGTAGGAATAACAATTCTTCTTACTTATATTTAGAATGTTTGAATATTAGCCTTTTATGCCCATACTCTTTTGTAACTTAAAAATCAAAATTATATATGCTAACTTTCTGAAAACAGATTGCTTGGTTGTTGTTCGTTCTGTTCTTATCTCGTTCGAACTAGTTACAACCTGTCCTCTCGAACTTAAACTATTTTGTCCAATAGCTACAACCTGTCCTCTCGAATTCACACTATTTTGTCCAATAGTTACGATCTGTCTTCTCAAATTCAAACTATTTTGTCCAATAGCTACAACCTGTCTTCTCAAATTTAAACTATTTTGTTCAATAGTTACAACCTGTCCTCTCGAATAAAAACTATTTTGTCCAATAGTTACAGTCTGTCCTTTCGAATTCAAACTATTTTGTCCAATAGTTACAGTCTGTCCTCTCGAATTCAAACTATTTTGTGCAATAGTTACAGTCTGTCCTCTCGGACTTAAACTATTTCGTCCAATAGTTACAACCTGTCCTGGCGGACTCAAACTATTTTGTGCAATAGTTACAGTCTGTCCTCTCGAATTCAAACCATTTTGTCCAATAGTTACAGTCTGTCCTCTCGAATTCAAACTATTTTGTCCAATAGTTACAGTCTGTCCTTTCGGACTTAAACTATTTTATCCAATAGCTACAACCTGTCCTCTCGAATTCAAACTATTTTGTCCAATAGTTACAACCTGTCCTCTCAAATTCAAACTATTTTGTTCAATAACTACAACCTGTCCTGTGAAATTCAAACTATTTTGTCCAATAGTTACAACCTGTCCTCTCAAATTCAAACTATTTTGTCCAATAGCTACAACCTGTCTTCTCAAATTTAAGCTATTTTGTCCAATAGTTACAACCTGTCCTCTCAAATTCAAACTATTTTGTTCAATAACTACAGCCTGTCCTGTGAAATTCAAACTATTTTGTCCAATAGTTACAACCTGTCCTCTCAAATTCAAACTATTTTGTCCAATAGTTACAACCTGTCCTCTCGTCTCAAACTCAAACTATTTTGTCCAATAGCTACAACTTGTCCTCTCAAATTCAAACTATTTTGTCCAATAGTTACGATCTGTCCTCTCGTCTCAAACTCAAACTATTTTGTTCAATAGCTACAACCTGTCCTCTGGAATAAAAACTATTTTGTCCAATAGTTACAGTCTGTCCTTTCAAATTCAAACTATTTTATCCAATAGTTTCAAATTCAAACCATTTTGTACAATTTCATATAAATAGTCTTCTTAAAACTAACCTATGTTTGTCCTTTGTCTTTAACTGGTCCTCTGAAGTCTAAACTATTTTGTCCACAGGCTACAAATAGTTCTCCTAAATTTAAACTATTCTGTTCACTGTCTACAACTAGTTCTCTCAAGTCTAAACTATTTTGTCCGCTGGCTACAACTAGTTCTATCGAATTCCAAGTAAACTATTTGTCATTTGCGTTAATTCTATCCATTAAACCATTAACCAGTACACAATCCAGGTAATATCTTCTGATACCATGTCTATAAAATCAAATTTGTTGAAATAGACAAAATCCGAACAAAAATGACAGAATCGGGTAAAGTTCCTATAAAACAAGCATCTTAATCAAATGGTTAATTTTTCTTTCATATTACTACACAAAATTTCAGTAACGAACGTTCCTCAGTCACAGGTTTTCTGATCATACTTCAGTTTTAATTTGGCATGTTTTATATCGAATTTATATTTCAGTTTCTTTTGTTATATTTCGTTACATAACAAAACGAAACTTTGTATGTTTCATTTTATGTTCACGTCATTTGTGTTTACCGTGCTATGTTTTACATGCTCGATGTTGTATTATATATTTCAAGATCGTTCTATGTTCAGGTTGTCTTTTTATATTTTAAACTCGTTCTATGTTCAGGTTTTAGTTTACATTGCAAGATCGTTCTATGTTCAGGTTGTATTTTTAAATTGTAAGCTCGTTCTATGTTCAGGTTTTAGTTTACGTTGTAAGCTCGTTTTATGTTCTGGTTGTATTTTATAGTTTGAGATCGTTCTATGTTCTATATTTTACATTTTACCATGTTGTCGGTTGTATGTTATATTTTAAGGCCATTCTATTTCAGTGCGTTTTAATTCACTTTGCTCTTTAGCCTTTTTCACGTTAGTTTCATTTGTTCGATTAGGTTTGACTTTCGCTTTCTATTCAATATGATTTTTTTTTGTATTTCATAGTCGTTCTTAGTTCAGGTAAACTTTTCTTTTAATTTTGTTTCTTAATAGCCCACGTTAGTTTAATTTCAGTTTGTTTTGTTGCATGTCCCTTGTTAGTATTAACACTCCTCGTTTAACTTCATTGCAGTGAGTTTTAGTCTATGGAGTGTCCAGCTTGCTTGTTTTAAGTTGGATAAGTTCAGTTTTTAGAGTACTGGAATATATGTTTGGGTTCGCCCATTAATACAAGTAAAGCTACCTGTAGTTACCTTTTATACTGAATGTACATTTAGATCTTCCATATTTGTTGATGTTTTCAGTATATACATAATAATTTGGGATATCTTTATTATATGATTTTGTTCACAGCATGAATTATGTTGGTGTATTAATATGACATAAGTGTTCGAAGTATTCTCACCTTGAATGATGTGTATGTGCACTTCATATAAATCCAATGTGTGTAGTGTCATTGTTTGTGGTTACGATATTGTCTTATTTCCATTTCTTTATCTTAAAAATCAACTTGTGATGTGCTCAGTTTATGATTCGTGTTCAATTTTATGAATAGACTATATCAAAATAGAATGCGGAATTTATAAGTATTTGAACTCTAAAGTTTGCATAAATCATTTTTTTTTACATACGGTACATGAATATTTAATGGGGTAACGTTACAGACAACGAAATTGTTATGATATTTTAGTCACTTCGTGGAATAACGTTTCATTTGAAACAATTCTTATATGTGGTAACTAAAGGGCACGTTTGTGTCTTGTTCATATTCTTTCGTTATCAAATTAATACTTTAAGTTGGAAGCCTGTTCAATTTTCTCTCAATAAGATTAATCAATGTACGTTGTGATGCACATTGTGATAACTTTCCAAATAACTTGATGTGTGATACTTTAAGACAAGTATGTGCCTATTAATTTCATTGTATAAGTTTATTTCACACATAAAGTCTGACAAGTCATGGCATTGTTCACTTTTTTCTGACTTAGATTAATTTTCTTTTCATTATAACAAATATTAATATTAATAGTCAATTATTGTGATATACCATAGCATAATACGTGATGTATACCATGTCATTTGATGTGTCCAGTTATAAATGTTTGAACCTTTTCTGTTGCTTAAATATTTTTGAATATTTGAGACATAGGTATAATTATGTAATTTTGTTTATAAATTAAGTTTATGATTTATCTACAAATATACAAATGGAGATTATTATTGTTCTCAAATTCTGCATGTGCTACAACGCATCCAACAATGTGATTTAAACTTAACACTTGAACTTGAATATCATATCAGTGTAATTTTTTTGATTGTATTTCACCATCAGTCCTCACTTTTGATAAAACCCATTTGTCCATTTGCTGAAATATTTTACTTTACCTTCAATGAACGCCGATAATCTGTCGATGTAAATATTATATTTTGTTATCAAGTGTTATTTTTTCTTCACTTTTGTCAAAGTATTTTATCAACTGAAAGCTGTGAAGAAACTTTATGGAATACTTAGAATGTTTGTGAATTCCAACAAAGATGAATCCACTAAATAGAAAAAATAATTGGAGAAAAAATGATATACCACTGTATTGTGATGCTCACACCATTTTTTATGTCCAAAATGGTCACTTAATTTTCCAGAATCCAGTTCATAAAAAAACACCTTATCAAATTGAAATCTATGTAATGAAATATTACGAACATTGAGAATAACAGAAATCTGATGCTATGTGTTAGGGTGTATTGAGACGAGTCTCAATGAAAGCACTATTATGTTCTCGAACAGGGTAATGTAATATAAGTGAAACCTTATGTTTTTCGAAAACTGAAACATCACTCCATTACACAAGTGTTGGATGTCAATAGACATGCTTACTCCTCTGAAAAGTTTAATACCAAACAGCACACTTACAATAGGATTTACATTCAGCAAAACCTAAACTGACTACCTAAATTTTGTTTAAAAATCGTACACTTATTTTTTTTCTGACAGAAATTACAGTGTATTAAGAAAACTGCGAAAGTTTGGACACGGGCCAATATATTTGGTATTTTCGTGTTGATGGTTTGAATTTAGTCTAAAATAATGACTAGTGACTAAATAATGGCCAGTATATTAACTTTGACGTTAAGTATAATATAACTTTAACGTTAAGTATAATAACTTTGACGATATGTATAGTACCTTTGATTGACAGTATAAATTAACTTTGACGGTATGTTATTTACCATGCTGAGGTATTTCACAGATTCGTAGTAAAGATGTGTAAAGCATTTTTATTTTATAATTAACCCTAAGTTACAGGAATCAGCTAAAAGATGTTTGGAACGTTAAGTTTCATAGAAACAGTCACCAAACACCAAAATAATTTGATACTTTAAATTAAATGAACGTGCAACTTAATTAGATTTGGACTCTCTGTAAGAGTTGCCAAGCACACTCGAAAAGTGAAAAAGCGTGTTAGCCACCTTAGCTATTCCCTTTAAATAGACTACTTATCTTTTTCTTGTATACATTATACCAATCTGATGGCGTTAACGAAAAACATGCAATTAGTTAGAGCTAGAATAAAACTTTTGCGTTTTCACCCGGAACTTTTCGCATGTTAGATACCATGAAATCGCAGACTGCATGCTAATATAGGTGGAAGCTAAGTAATGACCTTGAATGCAGAAATTCAGATTTTTTTTGAATAATATATAGTTTTCACACAAAGTTTCTAATTCTAACAACTGACTACTTTTCAATGATTTTTATTAAAATTCTATTTGCCATATATACATATTTCAATGTTTGAAAATGTTAAATAGTCAGAGAAATATGTCATAAATGCCATTATGTGTTGTTTAACTGGCATATTGAAAGAGAAATATAGCTACATGTTAAAAGATTCGATACCTATTCACGGCATAAACTGAACTCCGGCATTAAATGGTTTGAATTAATCTTATCATAATCACCGCCAAATATTAATAATCTCAGCAAGGTCAGGTAGCAAATATATCTAGATTAGGTATATGTTATAAAATAGTACTCATAAATGAAGGAACAATTTTTTTTTATCTTAGCACTGACTACTGACAATTTTTAAACAATTTTAGCATTTTCCGGATCTACCTACATACCTTATTTACTATAGAGTGTTGAAGATCTGCTACAAGAGCGCTTGCTGGGAACTTTGTATATATTAAGTGGTTTGAATTGAGATGTTATCTGTTTTTGTGATTTCTTAGTTTCTGTCCAATTTCAATTTCGATATTATGATTTTTGTTTACCAATTATGATATTTTTTTATAAGACAGCTTATCAGGCAGGGCAATTTATACCCACTGGCAGCTTTGATTTTAAATATAAAAAATTGCAGTTACACTGTAACAATAACCAGTGTAGGAGTTCCTCTTTGAATGATAATAAAGAGTTTAA